CTCATGGCAACATGCAAACTTTCCACGGAGCAGATTCAGTGGTAAAGTATAAACCACAGCCCCTTCCCTAGAGTCCGGGCCCCCCCAGCCCAGGCGAAAGACAGTCAGGCTCTGGCACCACTCAGTCCCCTGGCTGTGCAGGGCTAGGGACGTGGGGGACCACAGAGAGCACCCTGTCCAGCGAGACAAAACAGAGGACAGAGGCAGAGTGGGGACGGAGGATGGACGGGCGCAGGGTGGGGCAGCTGGGCCATCTCTGAAGAGGAGGTGCCTAGTAGAGGACCCACAGCTCACACCAACACTCTAGGGACAGCAGGGACAAGAGACCCTGGGGCAGGAGCCTCCTGGAGCATCCAGAGGGCAGCAGAGAGCCTGGTACTGTCCAAGGCTCACCCGCATCCGCCTCAGGGTTTCGGCCAGGGCAGCGTGCCCATCCTCCATGCCCAGCACAGAAGCTCAGTGCACGGGGCCTCCGGTGAGGAGCACAGCCCTGCTTGGCCCAGGAGCCCCGGGGAGAGTGGAATTGGTCCTCTCAACAGCCCAGCGGATTTGGAATCGTGATGGCTTCAGCCAGTCCGTGGGCCTGGCACCAGCTGTGCAGGAGAATCCCACAGAGCCAGGTCCCAAAGGAGCCCCGCTAAGGTCCGGCACCCGGCCCTCCCCGCCAGAACCCAGGGAGGGCCAGTCCGGCCTGCCACATCCTCTTGGCAGCTTCCGGGCACCCGACCCTGACCACAAGGCTGGCCTGGAGCTGAGCCATCTTAGCGAAGGCCAGGACAGCTTCCTCCATTGGCAGCTTGGGCCAACCGGCCTGCAGCCCCTCCGCCCTGCCAGAGCCCCAGCCCTGTCCACAGTGTCACCCTGACCGCCGGGGCCATGCATCGCGGACACCCCAGTCCTGCCTGCTGGGCAGAGGGGCCCCTGCCTGACTTCATCAATCTCCTGCTCGCCCTCATGTCAAAGTGCACACCATTTCTTGTAAAAATGATCTGGCTGCTAATTAGGCTGTTTATAACTCGTTTCCCTAGTCGCTAATGGTAATTAACATGCAAATGAGCTGGGGGAGGGGAGGCTCTGGGCCCCGGTTCATTACCACGTTAATTACTGTTTGCATACTGAAGTGCACAGATATAAATGGCCGCAGTTAGGGGAACGGGCGAGATGATAATTACACCGATGGTATTTGGAAAAGTCATTTCGCCGTGTTATTTTTCTGTATGATTAATGGTTCCCGGCTGCCCGGTTGATAAACTCCGTCAGTTCAAACCGATACAGGCTGTGTACACAAACCGCGGGGCTGGCTCTCGGCACAGCGCCATCGATCTCTCCCTGTCCCCCGATGGTTGGCACAAACTTTCGGAGGGGAAGAGAAGGCAAAGGAGAAACTCGGGCAGCGGGGGCGAGCGGACTCCTGGACACTCTCGGGTTTAAAGGTGCCTGCTGCTGGATCTACCGCGCCGGGCAACGGCAGACAGGGTCTGTTCAGGGTGTGGAGTTGGGGGTCTGCTGACCTCGGGGACCCCGGGTGTCCCCACAGGGTAACACAGAGGTCTTGGCGCCCTGCTCAGTCCTGCCTTCCCGCCTTCTTTATCTGCTACCTGCCAGGCACCTGCTAGATGGTGGCAGCCTGCCCCGCCCTTCTGGGCTGATGTCCCCAGGACATGATGGTGAAGAAGCAGGGGACAGGGAGAACAGGGGTGTCTGGTAGACAGGCGAGGCAGCTGCAGTCTGCGCAATGAGGGGGACTGAACCCAAACTTCAGGGAAGTGAGGAGGAGGCAGGAAGACTTCTGGGGAGGGAGAAGTGGCTATGCAAAGACCCTGGGGCAAGAACTGGTTTGTGGAAGAACAGGGGAGGTCAGTCACTACCCAGGGCCAGTGGACATGGGCTTGGTGGTGTAATATGCGGAAGGGTCCGCAGGCAGGAGCTGGGCAGGCTGCATGCGTAATAGTGGGGCCTCCTTGCAGGTGGGCAGAGAGCGATGGAGGCATGCATGAGCTGTGGGTCAGGGTGGATGTGAGCCCAGCTGTGCCCCCCTCACTCTGGATCATCGCAGGAGGCCCAGCGATCTGGATCCACAGCCTCAGCCCCAGAACCTGTGCCTGCGGAGCAGACCAGGTCCCCCACCTTGGCCAGTGCCAGGACATGGACACCACGTCCTCCTTACAGCACCTGCACCCCTCTATGAGCCCCAGACAGGGGGGCTCCCGAAACCACGCCCAGCCTGAGACTGAAGCACGGGGCAGCGGCAGGTGGTGAACGCCAGGCCAGGCCAGGGTAGCTCCTCCTGCTGCATTATTGATCAGGGGTGCGCATGGGAGCCCCAGGGACAGGAGGGGCACTGGGCTGCTGCAGGTGCAGGCACCCACACACACCCCAGGCTGGAGGAAGCTGAGCTCACGGGCTGAGAGCAGGGAGGTGTCCAGAGCCCGGGCATCGGCCCAGAGCACAGGACTCCTTTATCTCCAGAATTCCCGCTCATTGGCTGCACAGAAGAAGCTGAAATTTCACCTGGGGACAGCCAGGCTCGGGCCTAGATCTTCCCAGGTCCCAAAACGGCCCAGGTAAATCTCCCAGCTCCAGGGCTGCCAGGGCTGGGGTGTGCGGGATCACAGAGGGTGGGGGGATCCTGAGCCGGGTTGGGGAGACCAGGGCCCAGAAGGCACCTGGGCTTGGCATGGTGGGGCTTCAGGCAGGTGTGGGTGGGACTCCAGCTCCAATGGGCAGAGAGGGGAGCACCCTGAGGGGCCCAGGTGGTGTCTTGAGGCCTTGGGTGCAGTCACGGCCTGGCCCATCCCTGTCTAACAGGGTTGGCCTAGACTGGATGCACTGAGTCCACTCCCCCAGGTCAGGGTCTACCTCAAGGCACGGGGGCACCCCAGGTGGTCAGGAGAATATGGGGAGACCACATGTCCCTGATGGGCAGCTCAGGACCAGTTTCACATGCTTGGGGAGCCTGGGCTGTGGGTAGAGAGGACCAGCCAACCCCCTCTGGGTAGGTAGGGGTGACCCGGCTAAGGAGAGGGAACCCACTTGGTAGGGAGGTACTGTTCCCAGGCTGCTGGTCCTCACTGGCCACTTTAGGCCCAGAACCTCTTCCCGCCCACTGGGCCCTGTCCAGGGCTGGGCCTGAGCATCCTGGAGTGGGTAGCCAAGGGTAGGGTCGCACAGTGGTCCCTGATCTCCCTCCCTGCATCATGTGTGTCCAGCCTTACCTAACCTGTCTGTTCCCAAAGGCACTGAGGGCCAGGAAAGCTGGGAAAGGTCCTGGGAATGTCAGCCCATGCTCGGCCAGGGCCCCAGAGAGCCTTGTGCTGAGCAGTGCCCGCTGAGCCCCCTGCTCGTCCGCCCAGCACCCAAGAGGATGAGAGGTGGCCCTGGGCCCTCGGCCCTGTCCTTCCTTCGCGGCTCCGGTCCCCACTCCTCATGCTTGCTGTCTGGCTCAGCGTGGCTTTCAAGGCAAGGGCAGGGACAGGGCCTGGGCCCCTCAGATGACCTCATGGGGCTTCAGCGGTCATCAGGGCCCAGGGTCTCCATTGTCATCTCAGAGTCTGTGGTGACAAGTGTCATCAGTGGCCGATTCCCACTCAGACGTCCCCAGTTCCAATGCAGCAGGGTGTTCGGGGCAGTGGAAGTGTAATCTCTTTTCCCCTTAGGGCTCTGGCTGAGCCGTATGGTTTTGTCCATCACGGTCACGCGTGGTACAGATCCAAAGTGATGGGAATCTGTGAGCCGCAGCTGGCCTGCATCCTGACACTGGAAACCACAGCCTCAGCCCTTGCCCCTCACCCACCCCGGGAAATGGCACCGGGTAGCACCTCAGGCCACCCATACAGGGGTGCCCTTGTGGGGCCGTGATCACACCAGCCGGGTGGGCAGCAGGCATATCCGGTCAGGCCTGCAGGTAGGTCCTCCGGCTCTCTGCACCCTGGCAGATGCAGGGGGCAGATCAGGACTCACGCGGTTGCAGGTGTCATGCAGATGTGCCAATTCTGTGCCCTAGGCCTTTCCCAAACCCCGTGCCACAGCCCTGTCCCATCACTGCGTGTGCCTAACAAGAGACGGGAGACGGAAGGGAAAGTCATCAAAGCTCAGGAACAGGATTCTTAGAAAACCCTGCAGAAGCCTTTCTGCATGTTAAAGAGCTAAGGAGAGGCCAGGCAGAGCGGAGGACCACACTCGCCCTGGACCCTCAACCTTGCCTGGCGTCCACCCCCTGAACTCCGGGGCCAGAGCCCTCGCTGTGGGCCAGCAAGGCAGACCTAGGTCAGACGTGCTCTGACCCTCTCAGCACACTCACACCCTTCCCCGCACCCCAGAACAGCCAGTGCCAGCTGCACCTGGGCTCCTCAGCTCCCTGGGTTGGGAGGGCCCTGCCCAGAGTGAACCCTCTCTCCAGGGACATGAGACGGTGCCCCCTAGGCCCCCTAAGCTTGCTGCCTGGGCCCTGCTCCCCACCCCTCCTGCTGCAGGGGTAGACAGGGAGTCCTAAAGTCGCCCCCTTCCCAGCCGCCGTCCAGCCATCTGGGCCCCCAGGAGGCCCAGGCCAGAGGGAAGGAGGCCCGCGGAGTCAGTAGTGTGGCCATGGGGATGCAGTCCACCTGCCCAGGGCAGAAGACAGCTTCGAGGACAGGGACCCAGGGCCAGGTCAGAGGACACCAAGGACCCCCAGGAGGCAGGGTCCTGGGGAGAGTGGTACAGTGAGGGGGTGTCCTAAAGCAGCCAGCGCAGAATATGAGCTTTGGGGTACAAATATGGAATCAGGCAGGGTCAGCCCTGGAGCTGGCAGCTCTTCCCTGGCACCCAGAGGCACCACACCCCTGTGTCCCCTAAACTCTGGGTATCTGTTCCAGCCTGCCCCACCTAGGCCTGCAGGAGGACGCATCCACAGAGAGAGCAGGCAGGGTAGCTGTGGCTGTGCCTGGATGTCAGCCACTGGGGGCGCCGCGGAGCAGCCAGGTGGTGAGGGTGTTGATGCTCTCCCAGGAAACAGGATCTGCCAGGGCGCCAGCCACTTCCCAGAGCTGAGCCCGGCGGCGTCAGCAGGAGCCCGGCTGGGCCCTGACCCGCAGAGAAGGACTGGAAACAGGGCCCTTCCCCGCCCAGCACACCACCAACTGCAGAGGAAGCCACAGGCAAGGGTGAGCGAGTCTGCCTGTGCCATGGCAGCCACAGAGCACTGAGACCAGGGAAGGGTTCCTGAGGAGTTGGCCCAGGTCAGGGTGGGATCAGGGCTGGGCCCCAGGACCCCGCCACAGACCAGACCCTAGTGGAGCTGGCCAGAGTCACCCTGTCCCACGCAGGGCCAGGCAGGGGCCCCGAGACCTGAGCACCCCAGCCTAGCCTACATTCCAAGGGTGATGGGGGGGGGCAGAGATGGCACTGACGGGGGCCCCAGAAAGCTGCAGGCATCACCCTCCCAGGGAACCCCATGGTGCTGAGAGAGTGGGGAAAGCCCTCACCCTGGCCGGGCCCCCACCCTTCAGGTCGCCCTGGCTGCAATCTCTTACCACCCGTGTGCACCCTGGACCCTGGCCTCAGGGTCTGGGTGTTCTTAGAGCAACCCCCCGGGGTGTCCTGTCCCATCGGTGCAGGAGGAGGCAGAGGCAGGAGGCAGCAGGGTGGGAGACATGGTCTGCAGGCCCTGGCAGATACTCTAGTGGGAAGACGGGCAGCTGAGGGGGCATCTGGTGTCCTGTGCCTGGGTCACAGATCATCCTGACCCCGGCTCTCTGCAGTCAGATGGGCTTCGTGGCACAGGGCCAGGGCTGAGCACTAACCACTGCCACTCCTCCAGGTGCCTGTGAGGATCAGACATGGGCCAGCGGGTGCCACCGATGTGATGTCCGCCCAGGAGCTTGCAGCCTGCCTCTGCCGGGAGGGGGACCAGCACCTGGTCCTGGGGGACCCACCCCTGGCCACGGCTTTCTATCTGGCTGCCTTCAGCTGCCACGCTCCCTCGGCCCTCAGGAACATTCGGGCAGCACTGGCTGAGGCCCGGGGGGCACCCGTGGTGACCACCCTGGAGGCCTGGTGCCGTGGGGACAGCCAGATCCCGGCCGTCCACTGGGACGGCATGGCGGTAGTCTCACTGACGGGGGCCCTGGCCTCTGCCTTCCTGGGGGCCCTCTACCCAAACCACCCAGCCGCCATCCTGCACTCACTGGCCAGCCTGCTGGCCCGTGGGCAACACGGGGAGGTGGTACGGCGCTGCGACGCCCTGCTGGACACCCACTCACAGCAGGCCCTGGAGCTGCGGCTGACCCGCGCCCTAGCCCTCGTCCTGTCTGGGGACCCAGCAGGCCAGGGTATGGCTCACTACCTGCAGGCCTTCGCCTCAAGCGCCAGCCGCACGGTGGCCTTCATCCGCACCCACCAGCAGCCCTACATCCCCACACTGCTCAGCACCCTGCAGAGATGCATCTCGGGGCACACAGAGGCCACAGACAGCACCAACCAGCAGGACACTGGCTGCCAGGGACTCCTGACGGCCCTGGACCCCAGCGGGTCCTGGAGCGATGCCCCGTCTCCTGACGCCCTGCTGCTCCACGGCAGGTATGAGGACTGCCTAGCCACGTGCAGCCAGGCCTTGCAGCCTGACGCGACGGGCAGCGGACCACAAGGTAGGAGAGAGTCCCAGCCTCCTTGCTAGGGCCAGGGCAGCCGTCACTGCAGCCAGTTAAGTTCCATTGTGGTGGGATTGTTCTGGGGCCAGGGACACCAGAGTGACAAGACAGTCAGCCAGGCTGCTGCCCTTCCTGGGGGCGCTGCAAGTGGCATCTGCAGCCAAGCCCTGCTGGCTTCCAAGGGACTTCAGCTTTGCCCTCAGAGCCACTGAACAGTGGTGGACAGGGGCTTGGAACTCACGCTGAGTGCGTCCTGGCTGCTGTGCAGAGCACGCGTGGGAGCCAGAGAGAGGACAGAACCTGCTGGAATCAGGGGCTGGGGACAGGGAGGCTGGGGGCCGGGCGCCTAAGGCTGGGGCCTGGGCGTCATGGTTCAGAAGAGAGACTGTGTCCGGGAGACAGCGCCGCATTGCCCCAAGGAGCAGGAGCCTCAGTGCTAGAAAGGACACCCAGGGCCAGGTCTGAGGGTGACGAGGTGCAGGTGGCAAAGGGAGGTCCAGAATGAATTTTAGAGCCTGCTTGGACCTGGACTGGGGGAGAAGCAGACGGCAAAACGGTGTCAGAGTGTTGTCAGCTTTCTGCTTGTGAAACAGTACCTGAGATGGCCAGGCCATTCACCCCAGCTCCAGGGGCTCTTCTCCATCGGGTGACCCTCAGGGCACCTGAGGGACAGAGAGGGGCGGGTTGGGTTTGGAGAGGCCGGACATCACCAGAGCTAGGCTCGAAGCTCAAGCCCAGGGACCTGCAACCTTCACAAGGGATGCGGGAGGAGCCAGGGAGGACTCTGGAGGTGAGCGGGAAATCGGTTTCTGGGAATAAATCAGGCCAGACACCCTGTGCCATTCCCTCGAGGCGTCCTGATCAGAAAAGGCTCAGTGGAGTGACCGGGACGCAGGGAACTGCGAGAGGAGGGTGAAACGCTGAAAATTCTCCTTCTGTCCATTTTGAAAAATGCACTGTATCATCACTGTCTAAAATCACTGTTTTACAATAAACACCAGAATTCATTTCTCCTACTAACCGCAGCAGGCCGAATGGCGCCCCACTGTGTGTGCACACCACGCTTGGTGAGCCGTTTGTCTACCGATGGGCACAGGCTGGCTCCACGTCTCCGCTAGGACGTAAATTTTAGCCAAAACTCAGTTAAATCATGCAGGGCCAGGGATACAGCTCAGCGGCACAAGCGTCTGCCTGGCAAGTACAAGACCCTGAGTTCGATTCCTGATACAAAAAAAAAAGTCATGCGGGACTTAGTGACTTAGAGTTTTATGTTTCCATAACAGTGTAACACACTAAATTCAATAATGGAGCAGAGAAAACATGACCACAGATTTACAGAGTGTTTTATGACGTTATCACCCCAACATTTTAACAACCCATGAGAAGAAAATTTACCTCGTTGAAAAAGCTAACAACTTTAAAACCCCACTGTAAATGTCACCTATGACGGTGACATTTTAGAAGTCTTCCTTTCAAAACCAATACTGAAGCCAAGCGTGGTGGCAGAGTGGGGCGCTACGGCAGGAGGTCAGCTTGGGGACTCAGCAGGACCCCATTTCAAAGTAAAGAGAAAAAAAACCTTTCAGAAGGGCAGAGGATGCAGCTCAGCACCACCAAAAATCAATCGATCAAGCCAGGAACGAGGCAGCCGCGCGCACCCCCACGCTTCATGGCTACCCTGGGATTCGAGGTGAGAAAACCACACAAGGTCTGGAAGGAAACGGCGAGGGCACCGCTGCTCCAGACAACGGGATTCGCTTTCTAGGAACCGCAAAGGACGCAACCAGAATTTGCCACATCCTTTTATGTATGGCAAAAGAATTCAGTGTGGTTTCCAAATCCACTTAGGTGGCCAACTCCAGGATCAAACAGAAATTCTATCATTTTAAAACATATTATTTTCCACAGCGGCAGAAGTCACACGACTTCATGGAGAAAGTATAAAGCTCGATTTAAAAAGAAGACTCACATGAATGCAAAGATGCGCAGCATCCATGGCTAGAAGGATTCAGTGTTAGAATACAGACCAGGGGACAGGCTGGGGATTTAGCTCAGCAGCATAAGTGCCTGCCTGGCAAGTGTGAGGTTGTGAGTTTGATCGCCGGTTCCAAAAAAAAAAAAAAAGATCAGGGTGCCGATGACAATCAAGACGGCATCAAGACGGAAAAGGAGGAGGAGGAAGAGGAAAGGCGGGAGGTGGAAAAAGAGGAGGTGAGTGAACGGGAAGGACGCGGGCTCCGGCACCAGCAGTGGACACAGCCATCCCACCCAGCACGGTCGGTTCCCCACCGAAGGGACAGACGGGAAACAAGCTCGAGTCCAGGAACAGACCCGTGTGTGGCTAAGACCTCACCCGCGACAGAGTGGGCGCTGCAAACCCCAGGGGACCCAGAGGCCTGGTCGTCCAAGGACCATGCTCACTGCCCGCCTCACACCAGGCAGAAAGTAAATCCCGGGCGGATCCCATGAATACTAAGCTTCAGTTTCTGAAAGAAAATACCAGGCAGTAGGATGGAGCCTTCCATACACGTGGGCGTCTTAAGATACAAAAACAGGAAGCAAAAGGACAGAATTGGCATCTTAGATTTTATTAAATTTTTGAAGCTTTGTTTTCTCCATAACTATAAAAAAATGAAAGGACAAAACCAGAGAAAAAGTAACTTCATAAAATACAACAGGCAAAAAATTAGTATGCAGTCGTTGAAAAGTCCCTTCATACTGATAAGAAAAATTCAATGGAAGACCTGGCAAAAACAGTTCCCAAAAGAGAAAACAGATGGCTAATAAAACATGTGAAAAATACTCACCATCATGGAAAGGAGACAAATGCTAATTAAAACAATGAGAAACTATTTTCCTTCTACCCACCAGATTGGAAGAGAATTAATGAACCTCATGAGTAACTGGGAAAATGAAAATTTAAACAATGCAATAGCATTTCTATCCCCTCCCCGGCTGTCGAGGCTGTTAACTCTAATAATAGAAGCTCTGGCTGCCAGCAAGGGTGGCGGGGCCTGACCCGATACGCGTTACGTGTCCCGAAGACAGCGACCACACAGAGATAACACAGCGGAAGCAGCTGTTTGAAGGCACCGGACAGCAGCCACGCTGCGCCTGGAAGGCGGGCAGATGGGAGCAGAGGTCTGCACGCTGGGAGCTTTTGCCTAGCGAAGAGGAAGGAGAAGAGGAAAAGTTAGGGAGAGGAGGAGGAAGAGGAGAAAACGAACACAGTGGAAACCCTAGAACTGCAAAGTCTAGTAGCTGAAATGCTTAAAAAATCAGCATAATGGAGAAAGCAGAAGAGTCAGTAAAGGTGAATCATCTGATATGAAGAACTCAAGAAAAGTGAGCAGAGTTTTGGTGACCTGTGGGACAGTATCAAGAAGTCCACTGTGTGTAACTAGGGCCTCCTTAGGGCTAAAACTAAAAGACCAACTTTTGTGTGAGTAACAAGCTGTCCCATTGGCTGGGGCTCCCCTCCCGATGTAACTCCCTAGACTCAGGAACTATTGCAAAAACCAGATTACAGGACTTTCTGTATTAGAGGCAGTCACTGATTGGGAGGCTTTAACCACTGGGACCAGATAACAAGACTAGCCCAGGTTGGTTGGTTGGTTGGTTGGCTAGTTAGTTGTTTCATTGGCTGGTAAATTCGTTGGTTGCTTAATTGACGGTTGGTTGTTGATTCATTGGTTGGTTGGTTTGCTCGTTGGTTCACTGGTTGGTTGGTTAGTGGTTGGTTAGTTTATTGGCTGATTAGATGATGTGTTACTTGTATGGATGGTGGGATGAATGGCTGGGTCGTTGGTTTGCTGGTTCATGGGTCAGTTGGTTCAGTGGTCTGTCTGGGAGCACAGACATTTTCCTCCCCTCTGTGGCACTTAGTTAAGCCTCGAGACCCTGCAGGGGTAGCCTTAAAATCCCCACCCTAAGGAAGGAGAGGAACAGCCTCACTGAGGTTCCCTAAATGCCCAGATCACCCACTCTGCAGCACTGTACACAGCATCTCCTTGGTCGGACAGGAGAGGGGAGACCTTGTGTTCCAGAGAGGGAAGGGAACACAGGTCCCACAAAAGCCTTGGTGGGACGGGATATCAAGTCCCTAAAGAGGACGCTGAACGTTACAATCCACCGTCACAAGGTCAGGGGAGAGAACGTGTGGTGCATACATTTCCTTCAGGGCTGAAAGGTAAGAAAACCTTGAACACCCTGCTGGGGCCACTGCCGTGCTGCCCATCCAGGTCCTGGGCCTGGTTCTGCTCTGTCTGGTCACTGATGGACTTGGGGAGGGCTCCAGCTCGGGGCTCCAGCTCCGGGCTCTTGGGGGCCCCAGCAGTACTGCAGAGCATTCACAGTGCGGGAGAGAAGGGCCGGGCAGGGGCAGGTCAGCGCCTCTGTTTCTCTCCCCAGGTGAGCGCCGGGCCGCCCTGCTGGTCACCCGCGCTGCAGCGGCCTTGCGCATGGGCGGCCGGGTCCCAGACCTGCTGCGGGACCTGCACGAGGCCTTCGGCGAGAGCACCCGCGCAGCGCGGCGCCAGTTCCAGGCGGTGCTGTCGGCCGCGGACCAGGAGCGCGTGCGGGCCCTGGCGCAGGACGCCGCGGACCAGGGCTTCACCCGCTTCCAGGAAGCTGTGCGCGGCCGCCCCGAGCTCCGCGAGGACGCGGGCCGCGAGCTGCTAGCGCCGGCGACCTGCGCACTCCGCGTGCTGCTCCGCGTGGCGCCACCCGCGGCGCGACCCGCGCTGGCCGCCCGCCTGGCCGAGAGCCTCCTGCTGGCCGGGGACGCGGCGGGCTCCCGCGCGCTGTGCGAGCGCCTCCTGAGGCCGCAGCGCGCCGGGGACCCGGCGGGGGACCGTGCGCCCCTGCTCGCCCTGCGCGGCTTCTGCGCGCTGCACACGGGTGACGAGGAACGCGCGCGCGAGGACTTCCAGGCGGTGGTGGCACGGGGGCCGCCGTCCCTCGAGAGCTGCGTGCGCGCGCTGTGTGGCCGCGGACTCGTGCGCGTGCTGGCGGGCAGCGCGTTCCTGGGCGCGCTCGACTATGTCACTGCGTGCCGCCTGCGGCCGGAGGAGGCGCTGCTGGCCACCAAGTCCCTGGTGCCCTGGAACCAGCGTGGGCTGCTGCGGACCGTGCTGCGGGAGGAAGGTCGCAACATGCTGCTGCGCGCGCGGGGTCTGGGCTGCCGGAGCCGGGCCGCGGACACGCACGGACCCGGGGCGCAGGAAGGGTGAGAACAGCGGTGCGCTTAGCGGGCAGAGGGACGGAGGGGCACGCTTCCTCCTGACAGGCGGGTAAACTGAGGCAGAGTGGCGGAGTGAGTGCGTTCCCTAAGCATCGGTGGCGATTCGGCCCCGGGCTTAGGTCTTAGGATTCTCAGCCTCGATGCACCGTGATGCACCGTGGGCGAACTCCACGGAAAATGAGAAACTCAAACGCAGAGCAAAGTGAAACTCGCTCACCAGCCCGCTGTTAGAACTTCCTTGCAGCCATTTCTTTTAGTGCATATAAAACCTGTCTCACAGAATGAGCCGGCCGCTATCTGCAGTTTATATTGTGGGTTTTTAACGCAACAGACCGCGAAACTTCCTTTGTTGCGGAACATGCCCCAGAACAGCTTGCTGTCCCGCCTCCAGACCTCCCAGCCGGGACCCTTAGAGACTCCTTGGAAGGCACAGTGCTGGACACATCCTGTCTCGAAGTATTTTGTCCTAAAGATTGAGACAGGCGTGTAGTTCCTGGACCAGGGACCCACCCCACCTAGGGTCCCTGATTTCAGGAGACCCCATCCTGCCCCACCTCCAGGGGAGCCTATAGCTGCTAGGCTCTGCACTCCCAGGGCTGAATCTGCAGGAAGGCAGCCGGGTTAGCTCAGGGGTCGAACCCCAGGCCTCCTGAGGCATCTTTGATGTGCACCCCACACACCCACACCCTGGCTTCCTCAACTTCCTGGGATCAGCTTGTATTGCTTTGGATTCCCAGTGAGGGAGTGCTTAGATCTGTGCAATTCGGGGGGATCTGTATTTGTTCTTTCTGGGAATGGCCCTCTTTGGGGCTCTGGCCCCTTTTCAAAGTAAGAGCTTGTTAGCTAAAATTCTGAGAGCAGCCTGGTTATGAGCTCTGCTCATAACCATCTGCACAGCCAAATTGTTAATCTGCGCTTCTGTAGAAAAGGAAACTGAGGCTGGGTCTCCTAAGGGGTCAACCATCCATGGGCCACTCTGCCTCAGTTCCGCCTTCTGTAAAATGCCAGTGGAGTGGTGGAGAGACCTAGGGCAGACGGGAAGGCCAAGCGGGTGTGCTGGAAGGGGTGGCCAGGGGTTCTGGCCAACTCCTGGACAGGTGGAAGGGTCTGGGAGGGAGCCCGCCCAGCCATAGAACCTCTCACCACAGGGACGCCCAAGGTGTGCACCAGCTAGCCTCGCTCCTGGTGGAGCTGGACCCAGAGGATGAGGCCTCACGCCTCCTGGCAGCCGATGCCCTGTACCGCCTGGGCCGCCTGGACGATGCCCACAAGTCCCTGCTGGTGGCCCTGTCCCGGAGGCCCCCGGCAGCAGCAGTCCTGGTGCGGCTGGCCCTGCTGCAGCTACGCAGGGGATTCTCCTACGATGCCAACCAGGTGAGAGGCCCGGCGGCTGTGGCAGGGAGGTGGGCACTGGGCCTGGCTCTACAGGGGGTGCCAGACCTCCAGGGACCCACTCTGACCCCACAGCAAACGTTGCTCAGCCCCAGCTGTGGCTCAGCCGTAGGCCCTCCCTCCTGTGCCTTCAGCCTCCCCCGTAGTACCTGCTCGAGGAAGTGATCACAGGCACGAGCTGTGGCAGGTACCTGGGCCCACAGGCTTCCTGTGTGCTGCAGGTGATCCCCGTTGGCGTTAGCTGCATTATGAAGAAAAGGAATAGAGGCTGAGCTTCTCCCAGCCCACCATGTAAACCAGGCTTGGACCTGATCCTGCCTAGAGTTGAACACTGGGCAGCAGAAGGCCTAGGCCCTTGGCCACTGGCTGTTTCCAAGAGCCCCTCTCGCAGGGCGGCAGAGCCTCACAGCCTCAGGGATAGTGGCCATGTTTGCTCAATGGTCAGCAGCTGACGCTCGGGGAGTGCGGGCTTTGGTGTGCAGCCCCTTCCTTCCCCCACTCAGAGCACAGCCTGATCTTGCTGGCCCGGCCTGGATTCTGGCTCCAACCCCCGAATCTCTGTTCCTTCTTGGCCTAAAAGCCCCTTCCTTGTGCTGCTTGTTTGGTCTCCTTTCCAGATGGGGTCACCAAAGTAGGTCCGTTCCTCCTGTGACACAGGAAGTGGCCACAATCAGGAGAGGCCCTACTGCCCCTCCACCACCCACCCCTGTCTTTTCCTGCACCCTAAACTGGGAACAGTCCCTGACCTCTGGGGCTCCCACCCCACTGGGAAATGGGGAGATGAAATACCTTCAAAGGCTCAAGTGACCACGCCTGCCGTTCAGCAAGCCTTAGTGCTCCGAAGAGACAAGAAGCACCTGGGCTCCTGGGACAAGGGAGGGCCTGGCGGGGTCAGAGCATGCTGGGGAGGCCAGGGAAGGGCAGAAGGAAACAGAGGTGGTGACTCTGCTTCCGTCCCCGCAGCTGGTGAAGAAGGTGGTTCAGACCGGGGACACAGCCTGCCTGCAGCCCATCCTGGACATCTTCAGCCATGAGGACCGGCAGCTGCTGCAGGGCCACTGCCACGCAAGGGCCCTGAGCATCCTGCGAGCACGGGCATGCGGGGCAGACAGCAGGACCCACACCCGGGAGGCCATCGCCTACCTCTCTCTGGCCATCTTTGCCGCAGGTAGCGCCCCCCATCTGCCCCAGCCACACGGGGACCCAGGGGCCTGAGCACCATGGAGTGGGCGGGGGGCCACCCTCAAAGGGCATCTTGCATCCACCCTGGGGCGTCAGGCACAGGGTGCTATCTATGCTGCACCCCCCTGACGTGGGACTGCCCATGCAGCCCTGTGCCTCAATGCCCAGTGGAGCGGGCATCCCTAGTTGAGCACTGGGGGACACTGGATGCTGTGTCCTGCAGGGAGTGAAGCCAGCGAGTCCCTCCTGGTCCGGGCCCGCTGTTACGGGCTCCTGGGCCAGAAGAAGACGGCCCTGTTCGACTTCAACTCTGTGCTGCGGGCCGAGCCAGGGAATGTGCAGGCTCTGTGTGGACGCGCCCTCGTGTACCTGGCCCTGGACCAACCACAGGTGCCAGGCCACCTCCCCACCTGGGGGTGGGGGCCAGGGTACCACCCCCTCCTCCAGCTGAGACAGAGAGGGCTGGGCCATCCCGTCAGCAAGGTGACCATCCTCTCCTGCCCACCTGCACCACAGGCAGCAGGAGCTGCATCTCCATAGCCCACTTTCCGGGAGTCCTGCCCTCCTGTGGTCTACACCTCAGTGTGCAGGGATAGACGTACAAGCCCCTGAGGTGACTGTGGGGCCTGGAGGCCTGAGTGTCTTCAGCTGCATGGGTGGGGGCTATATAGACCTTTGTGTTGAGAAGGGATTATGGGACAGGTGCTGAGGAATGAGTGCTGGCATTGATTAGTCATGTCTGCCACGGGCATAGCAGTGCAGTCCATGGGCTCAGATTTGAAGTGAGCTATCCCACATTTAAGATATTCTATAGAAATATAGCAGCAATTCAGAATCAAATGTTGAGGGCCAGGTGGTGGGAACAAGACCCCATTCACATGATGGGAATCTTTTTGTGGAATCGTTGTTTGCATATGCTGCCTGCTCTGGCCTTGGGGACCCATGGAGGGCGTGTGTCCCCTTCCTTGGCTGCTCCCAACCCCAGACATGGGGCCAGGCTCAGCAAAGGAGCCCCAGACAAACCACCTCTCCTCTCATGCCTCACTCTCCTCTTCTATAGAGGAAAGGGTGTAAAACCAACATTCAAAGAAGAAACCACAAGAGAAATCAAAGCCAAGGAAGGTGGGTGAGGACCCCATCCACCAAGCTGGTGAGACAGCTTCGAGCAGCAGGGGGAGAGTCGTAGAGCTGGGACCACTTAGGTTAAAACCTGAAACAAACCTCAACTTACACCTAAATTGACAGCTTAAGCAACTGAAAAAAAGAGCAGGCTAAATCAAAGGGAATGAAGAGAAATAATAACGACTCGGGTGGACCAGGGATTTAGCTCAGTGGCATAAGCGCCTGCCTGGCAAGCACAGTCACGAGTTCAATCCCTGTACAAAAAAAAAATTCAAGCAGAGGACAAAATGGATAAAAGAAAAACAAGGAAATCAAGGAAACCTGAAAGTCAAAACTGACAGAGCTTCAGTTAAATGGAGAGACAGAGAGCAGGCGCCCAAACTGCAAACATCAGAAATGAAAATGGAGACATGAGAGCAACCTCATAGAAGTAAAAGCAGTTTTAAGGGAGTGCTGTAGGGCGGGGATGTGGCTCAGTGGTGAAAGTTCTTTCCTTGCAGGCTGAAGGCCCTGGGTTCGATCCCCAGCACCACCAAAAAAAAAGGAAATAGAGGCAGGAAGCACTGCAATGACTACATAATCCAGAGAGAGAGGCAAAGCCATGCAAAGAAGCAAAACCTCCCAAGACCAAGACATGAAGAAATAGGAGGTCCAAACAGACCTACGGCAGGTGGGGTGCTGCTGAATCCGAGGTCAGAAATCTCCCAAAGAAGACAAGCTGCGGACTTCAGGACTCCACTGGAGAATGCCCATGTTTAGAGGATTAAAGCTTTTCTTTAAAATTGGAAGAGGACAGGACCCTTCCTAAGTCTTTCTGAGCCCCACAATACCCTGGCTCCAAAACCAGACGGGTGCTACAAGAAAAAAAAAAAGCCACAGACGATAGCACTCGTGAACATTATGCTGACGTCCTCGATGAAACACCGGCAAACAGCCTCGACAGCACAGTCCAGGGCTCACACCCCACGGCCCAGCGGGGTCTATTCACGGGATGTGAGGACGGCTCCGTATGTAACACATGACCAGGGCAACACAGGACAGTAACAGAGCGCAGGGGGACATCCACCACTCCTGTGCACACAGATGGGAGGTCCCAGCCAGGGCACGTGGGAGAAGGACAGACAGACAGGACCTGCAACTGGAGGGAAGGAAGAAATAAGAGCATCCATGCCGCATTGGGTCTGGTGTCACATGCAGAAGACCCCAAAGAGTCTGGAAAACCTGTCGGAACTAAAAGTGATTCCAGCCAAGAGGCAGGACACAGACTCAACACAGAAAACAGCCATACTGGGTGCAGTAGCATCAGCAATCTGAGCAGAGAATTAAGAAAAAAATTCCACTTACAATGGTGTAAGATATTTCAAAGTTAACCGAGACATTAAAGGCAAGTAAACGGCAAGTAAACAAAGAAAACGTAATGCTGCTGACAATATTAGCCAGTTACCTACAGATTCAGCGTAATCCCTGCAAAATCCCAACGGCACTGTGTGCAGAAATTAAAAAATATCTTCCTAAAATTCGCATGGAACCTACAGGGACCCTAAATAGCCAAAACAATCTTGAACAAAGTTGGAGGACTCAGGCATCCCGATGCCTGAACTGACTGCAAAGCTACCGTGACCCTAACAGTGTGACCCTGGCATAAGACAGACATACAGACCAGCAGAATGAGAGTCCAGGACTGAACCCACACACAGAACCAAAGGGTTTTAGAAAAGTGTCACGCCATGCCCTGGGGGAAGGATGCACCTTCAGGAGACAGCGCTGGGAAACACATGAAAGGAATGGATGTGGACCCTCACCTCACACCATTCACAAGGACTGACTCAAAGTGGATCAGCTGGAGAACTCTTAGGGGGCTCACAGGGGAAAGCTCCAGGACTTGGGGTCTCATGACAATTCCTGGGATATGTACCAAACAAAGGCAGGTAACAAAAAGCAACAGGCACAGTGGGCTTCCAAAGAGTGTAAGATTTTTGCACATCCAAGAACACGATGAATAAAGTAAAACACAACTGGAGAAAATCTTTACAAATCATGTATCTGACAAGTGATTCATACTCAGAATAGATAAAGCTCTAAAAACTCAACTCAAGGCTGAGGCAGGATTGCTGCAAGTTCGAGACCAGCCTGGGCTGCACAGTGAGCTCAAGGCCAGCCTGAGCCGCATAGAGAGACCCTGTCTCAGAGACAGAAAAAGAAAAAAATTCAAACATGGGCTAAGGGCAATAGAGGAGTAAACATAAATACTAACCCAAAAGGCAGGAAGGGGACACAGATGCAGACAGGACAGTCAGGAGACCAGCAGCAGGAGGAAGGTGCTGCAGCGGTTCCCGGATGTTGGCCCGGATGATTCACCCTGACCAGTTAACTGAGTGACCACCAAGGCCCTGTGTGCTTCCAGGGCAGCAGCCGAGGGCACTGAGTCCCGAGACGGGGCCTCCCTCTGTCCTCCACACCTTTCACATGCTTGTGTGCTGCACTGGACCTTCTCCTCTGGACCCAACATCCCAGCCACTGGGAGAGACACCAGATCACCACCCACCCACAGAGAGGACACCCACCCACCGCAGGGGGCTGCCAGGGACTGGGCTGCAGGCCACTGATGACACTGGGGCTTGAAACCAGGCAATGGTGGCTGGACACAGCGTCTGGCCTCCCAGTGGGATAGAGACCAGTAAAGGACCTCAGGGGTCTTCAAATGCCTGACCAGGAAGCCGGTGGTAGACTGCAGCCACGGAGAGCAGGAAGGGCAGGAAACAACTTAGTGAGGAGCCCCTCTAGGACCCCAAGACGGGAACCCGACTCCACTACCCTGTTCTGCTCTCTGCCCACTGTCCCTGCACCCACTCTGCCCTTCCTGTGTGTGCCCTTCCTCCCCCACAGGAAGCTGTGGACGATGTCGCCTCTGCCCTGAAGCTGGACCCCGGGACTGTGGTCACTGAACTCCGCTCTCTGAAGCCAGAAGCCCAGCTGCTGCTCACTCAAGGCCTTCACACCCACTGCCGGGCCCTCCTGAGCCAGCTGCTGGATGCCGGGGGACCCCTCGCAGACGAGGATGCCCATGGTCTCCTTGCCATGGGGGACGCACTGACCACAGTGGATGCTGCACAGCCAGACTGGCACATCTTCCTTGCAGACACCCTCACGGCACTGGGTACGGATCACCCAGCATCAGGGACGCAGCTTCTGGCCCACGCCCCTGAGCCCCCATATTCTTTTCTGCAAGGCAGGACAGCGAACCCCAGATTGCAGCCACTCCAGGGCCCCCTTCCACCCTAGTCCCGTGGCTGCAGCTCCCCATGGGGCCTGTTGTAGAGCCGCTGTGTCTGTCTTTTGCACCAGACTAGGAAAGTGGGAGCTTCATAAAGGAGTCACACTCGGCCCCTCACATCTGGCCGTAGTTCAGGGAGGCAGGGCTGATCTGGGTCTGGACTTTTCTGCGAGCCCACATCAGTGGCAGCTGGGCAATCGCTCCACCACTCACCTGAGGGGTACTCTCTGCAGTCTATGTCTGCCCCCCAGGACTTGAGGGCCCTTCTCACCCCTGCCGCAATGCTCAGGCAGGCTGTCTTGCTCTCAGGGCCCAAACAGAAAACGGTGGCTGTGGTGACCTCCTGAAAGATCAGAGCCTGCTGCCCCTTCCAGGAGTCCCAGAGGTGGGAGGGGGTGGCGGAATACCCAGCTGGCCAGGACTCCTGGTGTGCAGGCAGCACTGTCCTGGGGCCAAGCGTCCATCAAGTCAGCCTTCCAGCCAGTAACAGCAGTGACAGCTTCCCAGGTCTGTATGTCCTATCTTGTGTATCCCCTGCCCCGGCCCCACGCTGACCATCTTTCCTGGGTCCCCACAGGTAGGTATGAGGAGGCTGTTGCCCGCCTGCAACCAGCCCTACAGGCCTCTCCACCATCAGCAGCGGCCCAAGCCCGGAGAGGCCTACTCCAGTTCAAGAAAGGGGATGTGGCCACTGCTGCCCTGGACCTGCAGTGCCTGGCAGAGACAGATGCCCAAGACCTCAGTTTCCTGCTTTGTCTCCTGCAGCCCTGGGAGCAGCAGAGACTCACCCAGGTAGGTGCACAATACCTGCAGAGCCCCCTATTCAAGCCCCTCCTCATCCCACAGGCCCCGGAGCCCCAGGCCCAGCACCCAGGCGGTTCTTCACCCCCCTAGTGGGTCAGGTCCCTGGGTCTGGGTTGGGTGTGAGAGGCCCCAGATCTGGCTAGGAAGACAGCCTCTGACCATCACAGCCCTGACAGCTCCACTGACCCTAGCTTCTGGGAGGGGGGGGGGGTGTAAGCCAACCGTGACCTCGGGGAGGGTGCCCTCAACCAGAATGAGGCTGAGCCAGCCTGCGGCACCTAGCCCAGCAGGAAGTCCACCCCAGTGTCACCTTAGGGCAAGAGCACAGGCCAGAGGGACTCAAGGTCACATTCCTGACTTCTGAACCGACCTGCACTGGTTCTCACTGTCTAAGCCAGCAGGAAACAAGCCCCACCAGGAGCTTGAGCACTGTTCAGCATTGGAAATGTCAGCAAACCCACACTAAGCGTTTCCACAAACCATGCTAGGCATTTTAGCGAACCACACTGGGTGTTTCAGCTGAAAGCCACTGGCCACCGGGTGTTGGGAGCGTCCTCCTGCAGACCACTGTGGCCCTGGCAGAAGCACCCAGAGGCTGCAACGGTGTAGGGAGGATCTAGAACTGAGAAGGGGCCGAGGCGGGGTCTCCGAGCTCCAGGGAGGGACCAACACCTCTGAGCCTGGGAGGAGCGGGGCACAGAGGCCGCCGACCCAAGAAGCAGGAGGGCAGGGCTGGGACCTCTGAGACCCGACTGGGCTCTGCGCTGGAAGAAGGGAGGGCTGGGGCTGGGGCTGGAGCTTGGAGAGGAACCCTGGCTGGGGGGGCGGGGGGGAGTGAGTTTCTGAGCAAAAAAATAAGAGGGATCGCTCTGAGGTCCTGGGTCTTGGTGGTGACTGGGCAGGGATCCTGGGGCTGGGAGAGGTCCACTGCGGGGCGTCTCAGGGCTCCGGGGGCTTGAGCGGAGGTTTCAGAGCACGGAGGCACCTAGACTGGGGGACGGGATAACCTGGGCCGGAGATTCCGAGATGGGGGTACCGACTAGGTCGGGGCCTCTGGGCTTGGGGGAGGCTGGCTGGGCGAAGTCTCCGAGCCCTGGGAGCACGGGGCGGGGGTCTCGGAATTCCAGTGCGTGCTGGGGCTTGAGGGTTCGCTGGTTGGGCGGGACTGGTGTAGCAGAGGTCGGGAAGCCTCGAGGCTGGCTTGGCTTCAGCGAAAGGACGAGCGGTGCCGAGGTACACGGGCCGGCCCGGAAGCGAACCGGAAATGGCCCGCGCGGGGCCTGCCTGCCACTGCGCCTGCGCGGCTGCGGTGCCCCCTCCTGCCGGTAGGTGTGTTTCCCCCCCACCCACCCACAGGCTTTCTTGGGTGCTTTAATTTGCAGGGCTCTGACCTTAGGCACCGCGCAGACCGAGGGTTGGAGTCTAGCACAGCCCAGCAGCTGGCGCTGGGGCTGCTGGAAGAACCCTGGGAGCTGAGGAGAGCGCTGTCCCCGACTCTGCCTGTCTTGGGCATGAGTTACCGAGGAAGAGACTCCCTTAGCGCAGAGCTGCACCCCACCCTCAACCTTGGGGCGGCGCGTGGCACCCAGGACCAGGCTGGGCAGAGGCGAGCTGGGTGCTGTCGTGGGATGGGCAGCAGAAGCCGGTTAGGCACAGGGGCTCAGTGGGAGAGGGGCTCCCCAGCCCTGAGCTGACTGTTGTCTTTCTCTGTGTCCTCTGTGCAGGCCGCGGCCCAAGAAGCCAGCACCCTCCTGGATGCAGGGCAGCCCGAGAAGGCGCTGGGCTACTGCTCGCTGGCTGTCCTGGCTGGGGGCAGCCTTACCTGTCACCTGCGTCTACGAGCCACCTGCCTGGGCCAGCTGCGGCAGTTTGGCCGGGCCCTCAGGGACCTGGATCGAGTGCTGCAGGAGGGTGGCGAGGACAGTGACCTGCCAGGGCGGGCAGAGGACTTCTGCTCTAGGGGCCGCCTGCTACTGGGCCTGAGGGACAAGGAGGGGGCTGTGGGGGCCTTCACCCAGGCTCTCGAGCTGTCGCCTGCTGTGGCCCGGCACAGCTTATGGGAACAGCCAGGTCAAGCCCATGCTGCCCATGTGTTCCTGCATTTTGGGCAGCGCTGCCTGGAGGAACAGCGCTTCAAAGAGGCCTGGACAGCGGCCCGGAGTGGCCTCCTGGTGGCCCCTGACCATGGTGGCCTGAAGAAGCTAAAGGCGAGAACCCAGAGAGAGGCTTCTTCTGGCTGCCAGCTGCACTGATTCAGCCGGTCCTCTGCAGGACCTGACCGCAGGCCCTCATCTTCTTCGCCTTGGGATGCATTGGCTCCTGGATTACTGAGCTGCTCTCCTCACCTGCCAGCCTCCCACCCCTTTTCCTTAGGAATTAAGGGCAGACAGGGAGAGCTCCTGCATGGCGAGAATCCTGTCCCACTGGGGCTCGACCCCTACCACGGTGGTCATCCTGGGGTCCCCTTGGCCCAGGCCTTGGTCCAGCTCCAGGATGCTGAGGGATTGGATAGCATCAAGAGCAGACCCTGTGGCCCTGGGGAAGATGTGCCAGCCCAAATGGGCCCTGTGGGCACAGAGCTGCCCTTAGGCTCAGCCCTGACCTGAACCCCAAGACAGTCTCCCCATCCATGCTGCCCACCTTGGGAGATGGCCCTGGGAGGTCGTCCTCCAACAGGACTCCACCCCAGCCCACCCCACCTTCCATGAGGAGACCCTCAGCTTCTATTTGGTATTCGTTCTGCCCACGAGGGAGGTCAAAATGTTCTGCCAGGTGGGTTAAACGTGCCTGGCACGCGTGCTTCCTGTGTGTGTTTGGGAACCCTGGCCCTGTCCTTCCTGTCAGTATCACGAAGCAGGGCCCTCGCTGGAGGGTTTTCACTGTGTCCCTGAACCTGCGGAACACTGGGCAGGCCAGCTGGGCGTGAAGCAACCCTCCCACGGCTCCTGCCTGTGTCTTCCCATCTGGGTGCCCACTGGCCTCTGCCCGGCTGCCCCATCCTCCCATGGTCTGGACCTAGCCACCATCACATCCCTGCTCGCTTCCTGGGCTCCGCAGGCCAACGTCTGGGCTGTGGTGGGAGTGGCCCCACCTTGTCCTTCCCTGGGCAGCAGTAGGAGTGGCCTGGGGGGATGACAGCCTTTCCCTCCACAGGCTCCACCGCTCCCGTTGTGCACCATGTAGGGCATCCTCAGCCCTCTGCTGTCTTTGCCCACCAGTGCCACCCAAGACCTGCTGGGCTTCATCACAAGGGACTGGGCAAGGGCCTAGTGTCCCCCACCTCAAGGACAGAGTGGTCAGAAGCCCAGAGACAAGGCGCCCGCGGGTGCTCAAACCAGTATCCCCACCTGCCTTCCGCACTCCAGGGGCTCCCAGTGCTGCTCCTCACCACACTGCACCAGCTGGCCAGCCCTGTCCACCCATCTCCATCTGTACTCAGTGGGACGTCGGACATTTGCCAACAGCCCCAGGAACCAGGGGCACGTGGATTAGGGATGCAGAGCCTCATATGAGCTCAGGTTTGGGGACACCTGGGGTGTGAGCTCAGGTAGGCCAGAGCTGAGGACGAGGCCCAGCCCTCAAGCTCCACGACCGGCCGAGACAGCGCCAGGCAGCCTCTGGGGGCTGCCCTCCCGCCCTGTGCCTTGCTCCCATCCTCCCACCTGGGGTGTCCTGCCCTCTGGGTCCACACAGGGACATTGGGGAGCTGGCCACACCATGTGTGCAAATACCCAACCAGCCCAGCTCACGCTTCCTGACCCCTCAGGACAGCAGTGCTACCCACAGTTCCTCTGGCAGCGGCCCTGGGTCAGAATGTAGATGTTGTGATTCTCACCTTCTCCAGGGTAGTATTAAGAGGTGAAGGTTTTGGGAGGTGATCAGGGCCTAAAGAGCGGGGTTTGTACCTGAATGGGATCCATAGAAACGGGACATGGAGGTGCCAGCTGTAATCCCAGCTCCTCGGGAGACTGAGGCCAGGGGGTCTCAACTTCAAGGCTGGCCTGGGAAACTGTCTCATAGTAAAAAGCGTGGGCAGGTAGCCCTGGGGTAAGAGCATTTGCCCAGCGTGTGTGAGGTGCTGGTTTGGTCCCAGTACTGCCTTCCCCTTCCATAACACAAGGATGCAGTGGGAACGTTTTCTGTCACTGATGAGCCACCCAGTGGTAGCTGGACACAGAGCCAGATGGACAAATGGGATACAGCAGCCCACGGTCCACCTCCTCTGTCCTGCCTGTGGGCCCCAGGCCCCTAAGGACCATGGCCAAGTGTCAGCCGCCTGAGCATCCTCCCTGCTGGGCCCAGCCAGGCTTTACTGCCTCCAGCCTGCGCAGGCCACAGAACCACGGCCCCTCTGAGTTCATCAGGTGGGTCTGGGACACCAGAGTACTGCCGACGGGAGAACTCAGGACCGGGTCCAGGGGCTCGGGCCCTGCAGACCGCCCTGCTCCCTGGGCAGCCCTGACCTGCCCCCAGGTCACTGCTGGAGGCCGAGAGCTGCCCTATGTGTCCAGGGGACAGCCCTGGGTCTGGTGCCCTCCTCTGCCAGGAAAGTTCTGGGCTCTCTGCCTCAGTAACCATGGCTCCCTGAATCTGGATTTTCCCGGCCAAGGATAGCACTGCTCAGTGAGCTCAGGACAGGCTCCAGGCCACCCGCCCTGCCCCTGCCCAACACCCTGGCCTGCATCTTTTGGTGCAGGAGCTGTTTCCTCCTGGGCCAAGACCAGGAGCATGCAGTGACCTGACCCTCATTACCAGTCTGGCACCACCAGGGCAACCCTGAAGGACGTGCCCTGGCCTCTGGCACCTGGCTCAGGTTGTCGGTCAGGGTTTGGAGCAGCTTCATCCTCAGACTTTGGGAATACACTGCTTCCACCAGGAGGACCCTGGAGGCCAGGGATTCAGAATCATCAGTTTGGTCTCAGCCAACAAGACGCCACCACGCCATGTTTCAAGGTCCTCTTCTTTCCAAATTAGCACCCTGACTTCTCTTGAGAACTTAGTAGGGATAAGTTTGTGCCCCATATTGGAATCTCACTTTGAGCAAGAAGTCTGGAGCTTCTCAGCAGTCTCGGGACTTCAGGAGGCCAGGGGCTCCTGTGGGGTGGTTGGGCCTGGACGCTAGCACTGCAGTGCAGAGCCCTGAGTGTGTTGGTCCCATCTGCTGGAGCTGCAGGTGATCAGGGGACCCCCATAGCCCTCCTGGCCACTGTCACAAGAAGCCCATGATGCCACAGGTCCCCAGTTCCAATGGGGAGGCGCTCCCTCTGCATTCAGGCCCCGGGACAGCCACGGGACCCCATCCCCTCTTGGGGACACTTAGGCCAATCTTCCCACTGGTGTCTGAGTGGACAGGGCCCCTGGGAAGCGGACACTGCACCATGATTCCAAGGGCACCAGTTTACTGTGAAGAAACACGAGTCCTGGTTGCATATTCAGGGTGGGGGAATCTGGAAGCAGCAAAGGCAAAGTCTGGAGACTGGAGAGACGCCTGGCAGGCAGACCTCAGCGCTGGTCCCTGGGCCAGGGCGCCTACCCCTCCTCAAATGCCCAGCCCTGGGCCTGGCACTGGGCCCACCCCTCTCCTGCACCTGGCTCCCCAACAAGTCTATAGAGCCCCCTTTCCCAGTTGAGGGCCTGATGCGCCTGCTGGCTACTTGGGCCAGGCTGGCGACTCCGTGATGAAACACCGTCCCTTCCCTCCGTCCAGTCCAGCTACGCATCGCCCAGCTCCAGGAGGCAACACCATGCTCAGGGGTCTGCAGGCCAGCTTGGCCGGCACCTGAAGGGCAGGAATCCTGAGGACACGCCTGCACAGGACAGGGACCCGCCCCTGGACTTGAGGCCAGGCACACAGACCTGTGGGGACCAAGGGGCATTCTGCAAGCAGTGCAGGTAAGGGCCAAGTCCAGCTGTCCTGGCACTGAGGCCAGGGACGCCACCTTACCCATCCTGACCACCTCCTTGTGTCCCTGGGCTGCAGTTCTGCACACCTCACAGCTACTGCCCAAAACGGGGGTGCACAGAAGCCCCCAGTCTCCCTGACCCCCTCTAAGAGCAAGGGTTCCAGCCCTGGAGCATGAGGCTCACCACAGTGTGCTGGGCCGCAGCCTGGGCCAGGGCTGGGTTGTGTGTGCTGCATGTCACCTGGTGGGCACTGTGAGGGAACCCTGGCCAGGGCTGGGCTCTGCAGCCCTCCTCCTGCCCTCGCTGCGTGGCTGGAACCTGGCCAGCACCCCCAGCCTCTGGTTCATGGCTCAACTAGAGGAGGGCCCAGGACCAGGCAGCCCCAGGCATGGGAAGGAAAACTGGACTCATAGGCCGAAGTCTCAGTCCCAGGTGGCCAGGTGGCCTTGGGCAGAAGTGAGCTGAACGTGGGGCAGGCTGGCATGGGGGACAGAGGTGAAGGGCTGGCCTGGAGACTCAGAGTCCGAGAGGGAACCCAGCCAGCCCCCCGGTGCCCTAGCCCCCTCCCAGATCCCATAGAAAGCAGAGGCGAGTTTGAGACCCAACTCCAGAGGCCCTCTGAGCACGGACTAGAAACTTTCAATGTGGGTGCTGTCTGCCCCATGACCTTGGACTGCCTGGCTTGGTGCAAGGGCAGGAGGACCTGCCACATGGGATCTGAAACCCAGCAGGGACAGGACTGGAGAAGAGGACACCTGGATTCCTGTGGGGACCTGTTCTGCTCAGACCCTGCACCCATCCAGACTGGACCTGGGTCACTGGCTCCGGGTGGGGACAGTCCCTGCAGGCCTGCCCTCCCCACCCAGAAAGGCCCCAAGCCCATCAGCCTTGTTGAGCAGGAAGGTTGAGGACATCTGAGCAGGGCCTGCAGAGACCCTGGCCAGTACCTCCCGGCCAGATGGGGGGAACCAGGACAGAGGCCCCCTCCCCCATCCAAACCCCTACGGAACTCCCAAGGGTGTCACACCTCCAGGGAGCCCTCACGGCATCACAAAGAAGACGGAAGCAGCCGAGAGTGACCTCACAGCAAGCCCTCCCACCACACCACTGCTCTCCTAGATCCAGAGCCCACCCCTTGGTCAGCACACCCCAACTCTAGGACCTCCCAACCCAGCCTTCAGGGACCTGCTGTGGGTGGTGGCCGCTCCCCAGTGACTCAAAGGTGAGGTTTTCGAGGGCCTAACTGGCCCACTTTACTGTGCAACTCCCGGAGGACATCCACCCAGAGGCCAGCCCACCTTCCTGCAGGGCCTGAAGGACACTTCCTGGGTGGTCTCTCCCCTTGCATGGAAAGCCAGAGAGACTCCTGCTCCGTCTCAGGCAATGGAGACTGTGGCTGCCAGGGCCCAGCCTTGGCAGGGCACAGCCACCATGGTGCCTGGCAGTGGTCCCGGGTCGCTGGCTCTGTCTGAAGGGTTTTACTGTGGGAGTCCCCGGCCTCACATGGAGGGAAGGCAGCTGGCAGGACGCGTGAGTGACATCCGAGGACAAGCCCAGACTTGGCCAGGGATTCACCAGTGCCTCCCTTCGCACTTCCCTGGGTGGGTGTGTGGATCCCTGGGTCGTGGTCCCTCACAGATGTGTGGATGCCCAGGCAGTGGGTACCAGTCCAAGTGCAGACCGAGTCCTGTGCCCAGGGCGGCATCAGCCCCATGGGACAGTGCAAACAGGACCGGGTCAGTAGTGGTGGAGCCCAGGCTATCGGAGGGACACAGCCAAAAGAGGCTGAAGCTTTTTCTGTGGACCCAGAACCCCTCAGGAAGCCCCCCAGGAAAGGAGACTTTAGAGGGGAGCAGAGTGGGAGGCCCTGAGGAAGGGGCTCTGAGGAGGCTGCCCTGAGGGGTGGTGGCAGTGGCAGTCATCAGCGAGAACAAGGCCCTGCTGCTGCACCAGCAGGCCTGGGAGTGACAGCCCCCTGATGCCCGCGGGACCCTCAGCAGAGCTGGGACGCTTAGGAGGCCGCCGCCTGCGCGGCAGCAGAGGGGCAGAAATGAGGGAGTCAGACCAGGAAGAGCGGGGCTCAGGACTGGGTGGGCAACTCCAGGGTTTGGCAGCAGCAACTGGAGATGGCATCATCTGGGGTGAACCTCCTGGGGGTCCCGTGGCTGCAGATGACCCCTACAGATTAGGAGACTAAGAGGGACCTCAGGCGGGGCCAGGGCCAGGCCTCAGCACCTTGTGGGGGAGCCAAGGAGACTAAGTGGCCAAGCAGGACTCACCCGTGGGTCCCAGCCTGCTCTACGTCCGGCTGTGGGGCAGGTGATACCCAGACAGGGTCTCAGAGCTAGGTCACAGGGTAAGAACTTGGAGCCCAGCCATCCATGGGTCACAAGGCTCACAGCTCCTGCCCCGAAGTGCACCTGTCTTCTCTCTAGCCTCCTCCGGAGCCAATTCCCAAGCCCGGGCAGCTCTCAGGGACACACAGGTGGGCACACTCACACTGACAGACAGGTGCGTGTGCTCGTCATGAACACCCGCATGCCTGCATGCCCACTCACACGTGTGCTCACACACACAGGCCTGGAAGCCTCCAGAGTCTGCTGTCTCTGTGCCACAGCCCTCCCTGCCCAGGTCCCTGCCATGTCCCCAGCAGAGACCCCACTCATCACCTGTTCCCTGTGCATCCTCCACCGCTGCCCACTGCCCGGCTGGCTCAGGGAGGGGTCCCCACTGTAGTGACGAGCTGAACCCCAGCCAGGTGGCTCTGGGGGCTGGGCTTCAAGGCTGCAGGGCCCTGGCCATCCCTTCCTGGTCCGCATGGTCACCACTGCGGGGTGCAGGAGCCCAGCAGCTCCACCCTAGTGCCCAAGCCTGTGGCTTCTGGACCCCTGGGGCACAAGCAGCACAGGTGGCATCACTGCTGGTCTGATGGCTGCAGAGGCCCCTGGACAGCACAGGAGCAGAGCCTTCCCCGTCCTGCTGCGGACCTGGCCGTGAGCAGCAAAGGGACTCAGAGAAGCTGACCTTGAGACCAGCCTACATCACAGCCGGCCCATGAGGCCTCCTCCCACCCACCCCAGGGCGCCCCCAGGCAGTGGAAGACTCTGGCCCAGAGCTAGTACAAGAGCCCCGAGGACCAGGCCACCAAGACTGGGGCTCTGGCTTTGGAAGGGGAGACAGGGACTGGGTGTCCCCAAAGCACCAGCCAGCAGCTCCCGCCACCTCTCCCCACCCTGGCCTGCGGCCACTCAGCTGTACACTTTTTGTCCAGCGCCTGCCGATGGGGAAGGCAGAAAGCCCAGTGGGAATGGTGGACAGAGCCAGCCTGGCAGGGCAGAAGCGCCAAGGCTTCCTGGAGAGGGGGCTGCTGCTCCTGCTCCTGCTGGTGATGGGTGCCCTGGTGGCCCTGGGCGTCCTCTACAGCCGAGGTGAGTGCAGGGACCCCGCCTGCTGCCCGCCTGCCCCCTGCAGGAGGAGTACTTGTCCCATGGGACAAGCGGGTCTTCCTGTGGCCGGGGCTCCCCGCTGTGCTGCCGACCCGGGAAGACTGCAGGAAGACCCAGGGGACACTGACCTGCAGGGCGCCGGCCGCTTTTCCAACAGCTCCCGGGACAGTACAGCCTGGCCCGGCTGCCTCTGCGGCTCCACGCAGGCCCTGTGCCGCTGCACTGAGCTGGACTCTGGGATGCCGCAGACGCCCCCGCCCCATCCCCTCCGCTCCCCCCACCCCGCCCCCGCAGCCGCAGCCGGTGCTGCAGTTCCCAGCCGGCCCAGCAGTGGGAGCCCTCGCTCCCGAGCCGGAGACCTTCCTGCCCAGCTCACCTGGCTGCTGCTATGCAGAGGACAGAATCTGCGCTGCCCCCCGGTGACCCCGTCTATGTCCCCGACCTGGTGCCTCCCGCGCCAGGCTCCACTCACTGCGAGTCAGCGGGTGGGAGCTTCCAAAGCAGAGGCATGGCCTGGGCTGCGTGGCCCCAGCTGTCCCAGGAACAGCCCCCCTTCGCTGCCCCTCGCCCCACGAGCCCCGGCAGCAGGAGCCCACGCACCCCTTGGGGTGGGAGACACCCACACGAGGCAGCTCTCACGTCGTGGACCGGGCAGGCGGCAGGGGACGGCGCTTCCCGAGCTGGGCTGCTGGTCCTCGTGGGCGCACTTAGGGCTGCCAGTGAAGCACTTTCCTGTGCCTGGCCCTGGGAACAGGGCATGAGGACCCTGTGCCCAGAATGTTCCCTGGGCAGACAAAGTGGGAAGCCTAAGTGGGTGCTGCCCATGGCCAGATGGCCAGCGCGGGTGAGACCCACATGAGTGCAGCTGCTGCCTGCTGGCCACATGGCCCCCAGGCCCTCCAGCCAGGCAAGTGGGCATGGCCAGCACCAGGGCAGGGCACTGGGGTAGAGAAGGCTCCGTCAGGCTGAAGTTGGGGAACTTTTGTCTGGAGCTTGCTGGGCTCAGAACTCTGGGTGGAGGCCATTGCTCCCTGTGGCGTCAGGAGACAGCCAGCTCCTCCTCCTGGGTGCTCTCCAGTCCCTCGGGGTCTCTGACTGCCATCTGCCTGTCCCCGTCTCTGTCTATCTGCCCGTTCCCCGCCCTCTGCCCTCCATGCAGCACTGAGTTCTCACACAGCTGGGATCTCCTTGACCTTCCAGCACCGTGCAGTCTCTGCCTTCTTTGTCGGGTCCCTGTCCCCCAGGAGTGACCTCTGACTGTCCTCTGTCCAGAAGGAGCTGGCGGGAGGCTGTTGGCATGTGCTTCTGTATTTTCACATTTCCATCCTGAGTTTGTGCTTGACTCACAAGTTACTTGGATTTACTCTGTTCATTTGGAGACCTGGGTGAGCTCTAGTGACCTTTCTAGGTTATGAGCAGTTTCTGGCTCAGCTGTGCTGGCCTTGGGAGCTCTGGGTCCTGCCCACACTTTCTGTCCATCCTGCACCGCAGCCCAATGCTGGGCCACATTCAGCCCTCACACAGGGAGGGTTTCCGTGTCTGCCAGCCCAGCCGACCCCTGCTGCAGACTTGTCTCTTCCCGCTCCTGATCCTTCAGCTATCGAAAGGCGCACATGAATGTGTGCGTGTGTGTGTAAAGCTTGCAGTAGAGAATTACTGATTTCCCACAGCACGTGTGTGCCCTGACTCCCCGGGACGAGTGTGCACACTGCATGTTGCTAACCTGTAGCTCCCGTGTCCAGCACAAACTTAACTTTTTTTCAAAAGAGAAAAAACAGAAAAATTAAGCAGCGTACAGTAAAAAAAATAACGACAACAACAAAACAGTAGCTATATAAGACTGCAAAATAAGATGACAGGAATTTAACAACGGCTGTTACATTGCATAGTTTTGTGGGGTTTTTTGGGGTTTTTTTGTTGTTGTTGTTGTTGTTGTTTGTTTGTTTGTTTGTTTTATCGGTACCAGGGATTGGACTCATGCCTGCCTGCTTGCAAGGCAGGTGCTTATGCCGCTGAGCTAAATCCCCAGCCCTACACTGCATAGTTATCTTCAGAACAGTTGCTCAGGTTACCAGATAGAGGCATGTAAGTTTGATCAAACAATGTGGTTTCCCTTTAAGCAGTTCCTCTCCCTTTCACTATCACTCTTGTAAGTTTTGGATCTTAGTTACTCTTTCAGTTTCTTATACTAGCATGACAATATGGTGTTTACACATACAAGTCTAATTATCTCACTTATGAGTGTGGTTTCTAGTTGCATCTATTTACTTACAAAAGCCTTGAGTTCGTCATTCTTTGTGGCTGAGTAGTACTCCATTGGAGAAGAATACCAACTCTTTCTATCCACTCCTCCGTTGATGGTCATGTGGGTTGTTTCCAGGACCTGGCTATTACAAATTGTGCTGCTACAAACATGGGTGCACATATACGCCCGTGGTATGATGTTTTCTGTTCTTCTGGGAAAATATCCAGAAGGGACCTAACTTATTAAGGCTATAGGATTACATGGAGACAAATTGCAATGTATATTATAACCTCAGTTTTATAAATGTAAGGTGACTTTGTATTTAGATAAAAGGTGTGTACACACCTTATCTAATGAGTCTGAACAATGTGCTTTGCCCTACATTCTATTCTATTGTAAAACTTCTTCTATCCTGAATGAACAGGACCATTGTTTTCTCTTGAAACTTTTTGGTTCCCATCCTGTGTGTCTCGCAGTAGTGTGTGGTTGGACTTGGGCTGTCTCACCTGCAGAGGAGTCTGTCTACCTGCGTTCACTGTCGTTACCAAAATGTTTTCTACTGTGTTCTTTTGTTCCTGCCTTTGCTTTGGTCTATAATTTTTCACTCCATGTTCTGTCAACTTGCTTGGAGCTTTTGTATTTCAATCTTTTTGAAGGTTTTCTCCAACATTTTTAATTCTTGCTATTTTAAAAGCTACAGACTTCTTTTTTTAAGTTAAATGTTTTCTACAAAAGTCACAGTCCTGTGCCCTGCCCCAGCCATGCCGGGGATGTGACTTTTCTGAAGCAGCCACAGGTCCGTCCCAGTGCACAAGTCAGCAAACCATGGCCCCTGCCTGTTTATACCAATAAAGTTTTATTGGAACAGAGCCACGCCCACCTGCTCACCATGTCAATGGCTGCCTCCTGCTGAGCAGCTCAGGAGGAGGCTGCTGTGGCCCACAGTGCTGCGGCATGGGCTCAGGAATGATGGCCTATGTCATCCAAGCAGGTTCTCCTTTGCACAGGACACCCAGAGTTGACAGCCCGGGGGGCTGGGGATTCCAGCTCCGCAAACCTCAGCGGTGTGAGCTTGGCTGATCTCCATGACACCCGTCCGCCTCAAGTCCTTATCTGTGAAATGGAGATGGGAGAGGTGCATGCAGCAGAGCCTGACCCAAGTAATGGTGATTTAGTGTCAGTGACGCTAACTTTCTGCCTTTCGTGGTCAGATTTTTGCCAGCCGTCTGGCGTCACGCCAGCCCCATGGTCAGTGCTGTCACAGCTTCGTGAGGCAACTTAGCTCCCAGGCCCCAGCCCTGGCCACCCCTGCAGGGCGATCTGCTGCTCGGGTTAAATCCGGTGTCCTCATCTTCCATGCCGAGGGCCTCTTTCCACAAGTGAGCTGTGAAGAGCAACGGACCCCATCGCCCATAAATTCCCCGTTACTAAACACCTCCTTGAGGAGTTCCCCTTTTCTGTCGAATTACTAACCCATCTTCAACAACAGCCTGTGTGTTTTTTAGAACATTTTCATTTCAGTTGTGGGAAAGCCAAGAGTGACTCCCAGGGGTGTCTGTTGTTAATCACTCTGGACGTGAACCCATTCAGTATGGTTCTGTTTTTGCCTTGCTGGTTTTGTTTTTGTTTTTGTTTTTGTTCATGAAATTGAACGCAGGATTTGCAGGTGCAAGGCAGGGGCTCGTGCTGCTGAGCTGCATCCCGGCCCGGGGAGTCCATTCAGAAAGGCACTTCTCAGTCAAAATTCTACACCCCGCCCCCCCCATCCCCCCACCCAGCCCCGGACCTCACTGATCTCATCCCCCAAAACGATGGTCAGAAGTGATCAGCTTTTAGTGTGGCACTGGGGGTTGCACTTTCCTGTCCTCTTCCCTCGAGGTTACAGGCTGGGCCGCAAAGGTCTCCCTCCGATGGTCCCGACCTGAAATGCAGCCTGGAGCCGCAGGGTGCTGCAAGCTTCACAAGGGCCCTGTGTCTCCCGGTCCGCTCACCTCGGGATGCAGGGCTCCTCCAAACCCGCAGAGATGCCGTCGCCCCTGTAGCTGTTAGGGGGAGTGCGGTGGAGCGGTGCGGCTTGGCAGAGTTCCGCGGGTGGTGCGGGTGGTGCGTCTGAGTGCTGTCCCAGGCTGGCCCATTCGGTGCTAACCCTTTCCCAAGCTGCTCCTTCTCTTCGAGCCTCCCCATTCCTTCCTGGCCCCATTTCCCCTCCTCCCAGGGCACTTGCTTTTCCGTTCCTAGCGGCGAAGCAGTGCACTCGGATTCTCACCACTGTGTTTGTCTTTTTGACACCACCATTTCTTGTGCATTTTCAAAGATCAGGTCCCAGGCAGTGACCGCACCCCCTCACCCTAGTCTTCCGGCCTGCATAATTTCCAGTGGGAAGTCTGTCTTTCCTACCCTTGTTCCTTTATCCATGAACTTCTTTTTCCGCTGTCGTCATGGATTTTTTTATTTACAGCCGTGCATCACAAGCCCCTCCTGGGTGGGAGCAGAAATCTTCCTGAACAAAACCTACAAATCGGTCACACCACAAGCACTCCCCTTCCCGTGATCAGATACTGGGGATTCCTACCCTACACCAGTGGGCCAGTGGTAAAATCCTTAGTGTTTTTTGACATTAAAATAACTTAGGATTCATCCTGCCTCCCGTGACAGATTAACTGACCCTAGGTTTTATCTCATGTCCTGAAGGCTTGTTTCTACTGTCCTCTGATTCCCACTGCTGCTGGCCAGAAGT